TGTTCTACCCTAGTTTTTTTTTTGCCACTTGGTATTTTAAAAAATGGAATCCACTTGTGCAAGCCGGCTTATTCCTCGGTTTAGGTCAACTTGAAATATGGCTTGAACAACCAATTTAATATGGGTTAAAGGTTATATTTGGGTCAACTTTAATCAAAATTAAATTGAATCTTACTTGAAACTATTTGAATTCATTCAGGGTCAGGGTTTGCCCCATTTGAGTTTTGATCAATTGATAGGGCTAGTTTGGGCCATCTTTCATTGGCCCCCTTTCATTTACCATAACATGGCACTCATGAATAAAAAAAATCAATAGTTAAATTTTTAGGTGTGCAATGACTTGTTAAAATTCTATCTATTTTGAGCATTTATTATGAACTATGTTCTCCTTTAATTGTGTCATCATAGTGTCATCGCGAAGAATCAATCTTATTGGGGATATATGAATTAATTTTTATTATTAAACTTACTTTTTTTTTAGGTTAGAGGCACATTAATTAGTTGTGGAATATTAATTTAAATTTATTACTTAAAAGATAAATGAAAATTTTATAGGGGCATGTGCTCTCACATGCCATTCATTAATTTCTCCCTTGGTGTCACAACATGTTACAGTTATGTCAGTTTGATGTATTTATTATAAAATACACTTTACATTGAATAAAATTGCTTATTGTAATTTATTTTTGGAGTTTAAACATCGTCTATTCATATTTTTTTGATGTATAGAGTGTTGATTAAAAAGATTAGAGAAAATTACAATTCCATTTTACTTATGCTTGAAAATGAAGATTTTAGGTTGTTGGTTGGTTGGATATATATATATATATATATATTATAATCATTTCTATATAACATCGCGATGGTTCTTTTTCTTTGCTCTGTTAGGTTTTCCGCTCATGGCGAACCCTAGCTCGAAACAGAAATCTGTTTTCGCTTGCTCGTTTTGATCCTTTCCGTCTTCGTCTTCGGCCCTGGCTGGAGGAGGAGTTCCCATCGTCGAGCCTGCTCGCCTGCTGCATCGCCTGTTGCGTCTTCGAGCCTTCTGCTATCGTCTATCGCGTCATCTGCGGCTCGTGTATGCGGCGCTTCGTGCTGTAGGTTCGTCAAGGCCGCTCGACTGCTCCGCCAGAGTTTCGGCTCGACTGCTCGCGTACGCCATTTGCTAAAGTGCTTGTGTGAAGCACGCTAATGGCCTCAGGATTTTCCTACGTTGGCGCTGTCCCCGATGATAATCCCGCCAAACCCTTCTATGCTACAATAGTTCACAAACACAGCTCTCCTTTCCACCTTGCAGATAGTCTGGTATTCCCGCAGATGTACTATGATTCAGTTGCAGGAAACGGTGATTACAATCTCATCCAAAAAGTAGAGAAAAAGACGGGCAAGACCAGCAATTATCTTTTCTGACACTGAAATTTACTCGTGCAGGAAAATACAAATTTACACTAGTTGGAAAGTTCCAATTAGGTTGCCCTAAGATGAAGATCATCAGGAAGGTTTTTGAATATTTCAAACTGGCTGGATATTGACAGGTGAGCCCTTTCGATGGAAGACATGTTATGATACAACTAAGCATAAAAGAAGATTACATGAGGATTTTCTCAAAGAAATTCATCACAATCGAGGGCAAACATATGAAATTGCTCAAATAGACCCCTAATTTTGATCCCAGTCAAGAACCCCCAATTGCACCTATCTGGTTCTCATTACCTGAACTCAAGCTTCAATTCTTTGACCTACTTATCTTATATGCAATTGGGACTATCCTTGGAAAACCTTTGCAAGTAGACTTAGCTCTAGTTCATTTCTCAAGACCCTCTATTGCAAGGATTTCGATTGAAAGAGATATTACACTACTAGATGTAGAAGTCTGGCTTGGATCTGCTCACAATGTTTATCGACAAAAAATTATTATGAAACAAAAATCTTACTATTGCAAGCACTGTAAGATGTTTGGACACCCGCAGGAGAAATGTTTCAAATTGCACCCACAATTCAGAACCAATAGTCAAAAGCAGGAACACACTATTAGTGCACCCCATGTGCCTGAACGCGCTTCCAGCAAGTCAGATGACAGCCAACCTGAGGAGGGAATCACCACAAGACAGGAGTTAGTGTCTGCCCCTAGGATCCCTTCTCCTGACCGTACTACAACGAATAATGTTCGAACCGAAAATCAGGATAGTCCTGCAACTCCTATTCAGGAAACATCGGGTGCAGAGATAACAATTCACACTTAACATACACTGGAACCTATCACGGTGGCAACGACTGCCTTTCCTTCTACTGCGGTTTTAACATCAAATCAGACCGATGATTACATGAGACAGTCTTCAGATGAAGAATGGCAGATTTACACTTCTCGGCGGAAGAAGAAGGCTGGGGGCACACTCCAACTTAGAAATTTAATGAATGATAAATTAGTTACTCCTGACAATAGCACGACTCTTCAAAATTTGTTATCTGACTCCGCTCCTAAAACTAGAGGAAGAGACAGGACTAAACTGGTTCGTCTCTAGCTACTTGTTTTTTGCATGTTTTAAATTTGTTTTACTTTTTATTGAGTCTATCTGTATCTTTTTGTTGAGGTATTACTGTACTTGTATCGTATGGGTTGGGTGCCTCATTTGGGCGCTCTCATACAACATTTATGTATCCTTTCTATTTCAATAAAATCAGCCTTTGGACTTTAAAATATATATATATATATATATA